GGGTGGCGGGGCACGAGGCCGGGATTCCAACACAGGACTCCGAAGAGGTGCGCCTATGCTTGGTTGGGGCTGAGGTCACCAAGAGTCCTCTCAGAGGGACGTTACTACACGCGCTGGCGAAGCCCAGGAGAATTTAGAGTCGCGGTGCGAGGATTACTATCTGTGAAACGAGGGCTGCCTTTCCCGGCAGCCAGCTTTGTGCAGAGACGTCCCGGAGCCACGAGAGAGTAACGGCTAACCCGAGGGAGGGGGTGGCGAGGGTGATTCCAGGCACTTTGTGGAAAGACGAGCTATGGCTAAGGAAGAATCCACTTTGAAGAGCAACCCCCGCCCCTGCCCGATACGTTACTTCCGGGGCGGGGCGGGCAGAGGGGCCCGGATGTGCCGCCGTTTTTTTCGTTTCTGAGGTGCCGGCGGTGTTCCCGGTCGCGTCAGCCTGCTGGCTTTTCGCTTTCCTGAACGCTTCAGGGCTCCGCGGCCTGCGCTGGACTGGAGGATCCGCGTCACTCTCGCGCTTCTGCTTTCCGCTCTCTGACCCACTCCCGCCTCCTGAGGGCACGACTTGGAGGAGCGCGGGCGGCGGGGCGTGAGCGAGCAGCCTCTGCCGCCATCTTAAGAGAAGGCGAGCGTGGGGTGTGCGTGGGCGCGAGCCGGCCTCCCGCGGCCCCGCCGCAGAGTGGCGCGGAGAGGTGAGGTCCAAGCGTGTCCGGCCCTCACTCCAGAACGAAAAGGCGAGGTCATCACTCCCTGCTTACAGGGCTGGGAGTAATTGCCTGTAGAGAGCAAGAAATTGCCCTGCCCGTAGGCTGAGAAAACGCATTTGGCGAGTCTCCTCGACGGAGGGCGTAGAGGGGCGGGGTAACTTACACCTGCCTGCGACACCATCCTGTTAGTTTCTAGTTCTGTTAGTTTAAGCCCTTACGTGCTCATCCCTCTTTAAATACAACCGGGGCTTGAGCTCAAGCCTGGATCCTGTTACCTACCTTGCCCTCAGCCCCACTTACTCAGCCTACTGTAGCTGAGGGTCTTGCTATTTCCGGCTGAATTGAGATAGACGAATGGCTTCCGGCTGTGTTGAATGTTGTTAACACAACCTGCCATCTCAAACACGCGTTGATAAGGCACAGCGTCTAATGCCTCATGGTTCGAACAGACTCCTCCAGTTTTCTGCAGACTTGAGTCCAGCAGGCACATGCCCCCAGGCCCTGCCAATACCCAAAATCTGCCAACATTTGCCACTAAGCTGCTTATCCAAGACAATGACATATTAGAAGTAGAGCGTTAGGAAGTCAGTTCTCCTCTTGAGGCTTAATTTTTGCACCTGCAAATAAGGGATTTGGGCCGGCATGAGTTCACCAGCGCTAAAATAATACTGAGCTCATTCTGTTTCCCAGAACTGGTGCGTAGTGTTTTACATACATTATCCCATGTAATCCCAACACCACCAGTGCTAGGTAATATTCGCATTTGAGGAAAAACAGGCACAGAGTCCTAAAAGTCCGTGGTTTTAGTTTATGGCTGTGTGCCATGGAATACAAGGTTACCGTGTTTTGGGAACCAGCTACTTTGGGTACATTTTAAAAAGTAATACTGTTGCCTTTGATAATCTCATGAGTTAGAGATGTTCTTACAATAATAATGTGTTGCAGTAGTGAACAGTGGTGAGCCTAGTGCTAAAGCTAAAAGGTTTCCTGACCCACTGTGGTAGTAAGGGTTTCTAGTCAGACAAATGACTGTGGTGACCAATGTGGGTCCCATTTTACATACAGATGGGAAATGAGGTATATATTCCAGCTTTATGAAAACTGGTAGTCCTTATGAATATTCACTTTATTACATTTACTGATAAAGGCCTCTTTCCTATAATGGTGTGTCGGGCTGTATGCCCACACTACATGGCTCTCTGAATCGCTTTGTTTTTTAAGTTCCATTGTCTGTTACAGTTTGCCTGTCCCTTCTTTCATTGTCAGCTGTTGCTTTTTACTGCTGTCAGTGAACATAGTTCTATTATCCTCACCACCCTTTTAATTTACTACTCTTAATCTACAGGCAAGAAAACCACATAGTGAAGCTTGTGCAAAACTGTATCTCAAGAGTATAAATAGGTACTTTGAGGGGCTATTAAAAAATAAGTGCAACCCTTGTGCTAGAACATTATAAAATTAGTTTTAAGCTGCTTAATCTTTTTTTTTTTTTTTTTTTTATGCCTTACAGGTTTGATCTTTTCCAGAGTTAGGAATAGATACATTTCCTGAAGTTAATGCTTGAAAATTTAGAATTTAAAATATTTACCCATGTTTTACGATACTTGATGATGATACAATTCTAACCATATTGAGGTTAATATTTGAAATGTTCAGTGTTCCTGCCTGATAGGGTTTGGCTTTGTGTACCCACCCAGCTCTCATGTCAAATCGTAATCTGCATGTGTTGAAGGAGGGGCCCCATGGGAGATAATTGGGTCCTGGGAGCAGTTTCTGATGGTTTAGCACCATCCCACTAGTGCTGTTTCATGAATGAGTTCTCAAGAGATCTGGTTGTTTAAAAGTATTTATCACTACCCCTCTCTCACCTGCCACAATGTGAAGAAAGTCCTTGTACCCTTCACCTTCCACCATGATGGTAAGTTTCCCTGAGGCCTCCCAGTCATGCTTACTCTTAAGCCTGCAGAACTGTGAGTCCGTTAAACCTCTTTTCTTCATAAATTACCCAGTCTCAGGTAGTTCTTTATAGCAGTGTGAAAACGTACGAATACACCACCACACTGAATCAAATAAGCAAGATACCAATTCAAGCTATAGAATCGAAAATACGGATTTTACATGCATCTATTGTTTAATACTGTTAATTAGTTACAAAAGAACCCAGAAACCTTTTAACCCATGGTCATTGCTTGTAGGATGTTTTTTTAACGATTTTTTAAAGCTGCATAGATGCATCTTCACGTATGTTGCATGTATGTTTCAGAAATAAATTATTTGCTAAGAAGTCACAGAAAAGACCCAGTATTGGACCACTCTAACAGTTATCACCTATTATAGTACAAAACACACTGTGTGATCGTTTAAAAAAAAGTACGTAACCAAGCTAAAGTGGGGCAGACATAGTTCCTGAATGTAAAATGTTCAACATTATCTATTAATTTAGAATGTTGTGTTTCAACTTTGGATTCTTTTCTTTCTCTCCGATCAGAATGATTGGAAGAGACAGGGAATAACACATTTGTATCTGAACTACTTGAAGAAAAATCTGAAGCCCTGATTATGTATATAGATTGTGCATTTCGTAAGTTACTTTTAACACATTCATAGTGGTACATTTTCTTTTCTGTATTATCTATTAGGGTGTTTTTGCCTATTCATATCCACTGCATATTCAAGGACTTAATAAGTTTTTTCATTATTAATACTTTAAAAAAGAAAGGATGCATATGAAAAGATAAAATACTGATACGTGATAGGCTTGCTTCTGAAAAATATCAGAGTTTTGAAAAGTAATACAGTCCGTGGCACCTTATTGTTGAATTTGTGATGAATCTTTATAAGAAAGAAATCACACCTGTTTTAAATTTTTTCATTTGATTATACCCTGTTTTCTTCAATTGAGAGAGAGAGGTGTAGAGTCGTGGATTCTCTTATATAAAATGTATTGTTTCATTTCTACCAGTATTTATTGAGCACTTATGTAGAATACTGGATAATTATATTACTGGATTACTAATTGCCTTTACTAGATCTGAAATTCTGTGGATATGTGATAATTATTAAAAAATGACAGAGAGTGATAGGGGCCAAGATAATTCAAAACTGAACATAATTTGCCACCATTCTCTGGAGCACCCTCAAGCCTACCTATCCCCACCTAAAGTATGTTTTGGTTTGGAAAACAGTGCAATAATATTTTCTTCTAGATTTGTCTTTCTTTGTTTTCTTTAAGTAATACAAACCAGCTGATTACTCCAGCAGTTCTGAAGAGTGTGTGTAGAGTGTGTATGGCCATATGTACACACGTTTGTGTGCATCTGTGTGTCTTGGAATTACATTTTTACTCCAACACAGAAAGATGATAATAGAATCATAAGTTGACTACCTTTGCCTAACACCAAAGTAAATTACCTTTTGATGTACACATGCAGCTTTAAAAGAAGTAGTCTGGGGCCAGGCGCGGTGACTCACGCCTGTAGTCTCAACACTGGGAGGCCGAGGCAAGTGGATCACCTGAGGTCGGGAGTTTAAGACTAGCCTGACCAACATGGAGAAACCCCATCTCTACTAAAAATACAAAATTAGCCGGGTGTAGTGGCACATACCTGTAATCACAGCTACTTGGGAGGCTGAGGCAGGAGAATCACTTGAACCTGGGAGGTGGAGTTTGCGGTGAGCCAAGATCACACCATTGCACTCCAGCCTGGCCAACAAGAGCAAAACTCCGTCTCAAAAAAAGAAATAGTCTGGAAACAATTCAAATGTGTATCAATAGGAGGATGGGAAAACTGTGGGCCCAGCACAAGGACTAACACCTGTAATCCCAACACTCTGGGAGGCCAAGCCATGAGAATCACTTGAGGCCAGGAGTTTGAGACCAGCCTGAGCAACATAGTGAGACCCTGTCTTTACAAAAAAATTTAAAGCTTAGCTGAGCATGTTGGCACATGCCTGGAGTCCCAGCTACTTGGGAGACTGAAGCAAGAGGATTGCATGAATGCAGGAGTTCAAGTTTGCAGTGAGCCATGATCACTCCACTATACTTCAGCCTGGGTGAGA